CATAGTGCTCTTAGAGTGAAACAGGATATAAAGAACTTCCCAAATTATTTTTGATCACAGAAATGCTTTTCCATGGGGCTTCTTGAGGGAACATGTATTGAGAGATTGTAGATCTGCTAAATATAGTGGAACAATTACAAAAAAGAAAAAGTGTCATGTAAGGCTTATATTCTACATAGTGCAGGCTCCATTCCCAAGGGTGGAACTGAACCACAGAATTTTAGCTGTATGTTTGTCTTTAAAACAGACAGGATCCCACAATGTTATCCTTTACGAGGCTGGAAAATAACCTGGAAAATAGCTGGTTCATTACATCTTTCTGAACTGGCACTACTCAGTGTGCTTATTTTGACATAGTTTGTATAGATAATGGTTTACAATCTATGTTTCCCAAATGTGCAGGTACTCTCCAGACTACATTCTGAAAAATGATGTGAAGGTTTCCCAGCAAGCCCTTGGCCATGGGGAATTACCATAATCAAGTCTCATACAGGAGTGGCAGCTGTTACTTTTAATCAGTGTGCTTAAAGAGGGAAAAAAATGAGGGTCCTTTGTATTCCTGTTAGTGGCTGAATGTCTTGCAGTTGGCAATTTTCCAGACTCCCAAATCAGTTGTTCTTGATGTACTAAGTCTCTGGAGAGGTTGAAATGCGTGGCAGTTCACGCAGATCCTCCTCCTCCTACTCCATATATTTGTGTGCATGTCAGTCACTTTGGAATGGAGCTCATGTTACCAAATAAATGCAACACTGAGTTGCCGGCTGGTTAGCTCTCTCCCACCATTTTTGCATTTTTGTCAAGTTGTTCCTGGCAAGCATTCCGACTTACATAAATTAGATTTGCTTTTCACATTAGAGGCAATTTTTGTTTTTCTTCAAATGGGTCTTTTCACTGCAAGGTGGTATAAATCAAAGAAGGAAAGGCACTGTACCGGGTAAAATAGCAATAGCTACTATTTTAGGCTGTTTACAGAGCACAGTTTTGAAGGGGTTTTTAATCTGATGGGCAAGACAGACAAAAATGAAAGGGTAAGAATAGTACAATCTAAGCATTTAATATATAAAATAGGAACAATATATAATTCTATATGCAGTTCAAAATTGTAAGAAAGAAATCAATTCACTCAACATATATGTTTTAGTGTGCTAGATAGAAGGGACATATTGGTGAACAGGATATAATGACTACATTGGAAGAAGCTCACAGGCTAACAGGGACAGTGACATGTAAATAAATAAGGGCAATAAACTGGTTGGACACGAGTTTAAGTCTGTGGAATATAGTCTGAAGTTACAAATGAAAGAATGTCAAATCTGAGGGGTAGGAGGAGCTAATGACGGGTGGGAAATACATATATACCACATTTTGCTTATTTATATCAATGAATATTTGGGTTGTTTTTCCCCTTTTGGCCATTGTAAATAGATGCCATGAACATGTATATACAAGTATTTGAGTACCTGTTTTCAATTTTTTTGGTGTATACCTAGCAGTGGAATTGCTGGGTTATATGGCAATTCTATATTTAAATTTTGAGGAACTGCAAAACTGCATTCCACAATGGCTATACCAGCTTACATTCCTACTAACAATGAACAAGGGCTCCAATTTCTCCACATCCTTGCCAATTCTTGTTATTATTTAAAAATCATAACCATCCTAATGGGTGTGAAGTATCTCATTGTGGTTTTGATTTGCCTCTCCTGATGACTAAAGATGTTGAGCATCTTTTCATGTGTTTATTGGCCATTTGTACATCTTCCTTGGGGAAATGTCTATTCAAGTCCCTTGCCCATTTTTTTAATTGGGTGGCTTGTTTTTTTGTTGTTCAGTTGTAAGAGTTCTTTATATATTCTGGAGAATAGGCCCTTATCAAATATATAATTTGCAAACATATTCTCCTATTCTGTAGATTGTCTTTTTATTCTTTTAATACTATCATTTGATGCACAAAAGTTTCAAATTTTGATGAAGTCCAATTTATTTTTTCTTGTATTGATCATGCTTTTTGTGTCATATCTTAAGATTTCACTGCCAAATTCCAGGTAAGATTTATCCATATGTTTTCTTCTAAGCACTTAATGCTTTTCACTCTTATTTTCAAGTCTTCAATCAGTTTTGAGATCATTTTTGCATATGGTATGAGGTAAAGGTCCAACTTTATTCTTTTCCATGTAGGTATCCGGTTATGTCAGCACCATTCACTGAAAAGATTATTCTTTCCCTATTGAATTTCCTATCTATGTCGAAAAACAATTTACTGTATATGTAAAGGTTTACTTCTGTACTCATAACTCTATTCCATTGATCTATATGCTTATCCTATGCCATTACAGTTTTGATTACTGTAGTTTTATAGTGCTCTTTTTTGAGACAGTTTTGGCTATTTGACCCCTTGAATTCCATATAAATTTAAGAATCATATTTTCAATTTCTAAAACAAAAAGCTGTTAGAACTTTGATAGGGATTGCATTGAATCTGATCATTTTAGGTAATACTGTCATCTTAATAATATTAGGTCTTCCAATCTATGAACATGGTATGTCTTTCCATTAATTTAAATCTTTAATTCTTTCAGTAGTATTTTGTAGTTTTTTGAAGTATAAGCCTTTTACCTCCTTGTTTAAATTTATTCCTTAGGTATTTTACTTTTTTAGATGCTACTGTAACTGTATGTATGTGTCTGAAAGCCATATCAAGGGGATCATATTCAAAGCAGAGGAAACCATGCAAGAAAGGGCACAGTGATGTGGATACCTCTGTATTAAGGTAGCCATATTTAGCTGAGAATGACCGAATCATCAAAGTGGTATGATAGGGACAAAATGAAAGAGTGAGCAAGGAGTGAATCTGGGGATCTATATACTATGAGATATGATGGATAGCCAATTAGGGATTCTGAGTTCTCCTGGAAGTCTGCTTAATTTAATACCTTCTCTTTTCTTTGACCCCTTCCACATCTTTCTGCCCTTCATAGCTGATGGTCTCACTGAGACAATAAAAACCATCAAAATGAATGCTGTTATTTCTACATATTAATTCACTACTCCCATCTGCATGTACCTCCATATGTAGTCTTTGCCTCTGGTTACCAAGAAGCAGGTGTTCTTTCTAGCAAAGGTCACTTTCTGCTTGGTTATGAGGTACTACCCTCCTGTCTTCTCAATTTTATCCTGCTGCTCTCTCTTCATCATCATTGTTTCTCTCTCCATTGCCTCATTCCCACTAGTTTGCAGGTTTGTTATCTCTCATCTCAAAAACACTCTTTCTGACTCCATGTCCCCTTTCAACAACCACCTCATTTCTCTGTTCTTTGCAACAAAAGTTCTTCAAAGAGTTGTTTGTACAAGTTTTCCCTACTCTTCAAGTCTTATTCATCTTTTGAAATTTTATTTTTTAACAGGTAGTATATCTACATGGAAATAGATTCCCTCTATTTCTGTACCTTTGCCATTAAGGTCCCCTCCCTGGAGGTAACTATTATCAGTTTCTTGCATAATTCTTCTATAGTCTATAGAAGAGATAGTCTGTAAATTCAAATACACAGTCAGTATATATACAATACAAAGAATGAACCTTAATGTAAACTATGGACTTTAGTTAATAATAATGCATCAATACTGGTTCACAAATTATAATAAATGTACTACACTAATGCAGGATACTAATAATAGGGAAATCCTTGAACAGGGAGAAAAGGTGACATATAGTAACTCCCTATGTTATCTGCTCAATTTTCTGTAAAATTAAAGCTGCTCTAAAAAATAGTGTATTAATGAAGAAGAAAAGCTACCTCACACTACTCTTAGGTCAAAAAAGAAAATGAAAACTAAGAAAATCAGTGTGAAAAAATACCATTAATGAAGGCACTACATGGTATATCAGTAACAGTTAAAGCAGAGCCTAGGGGAAAGTTGGTAGACATAAATATATATAGTAATTAGTAAGAAATAACTTATCATTTAAGCACCAGAGAAATTAGAAAAAGAACAGCATATAAGCCTAAAGAAAGAAGAAAGAAGGAATTAGTAAATTCCTTAAGAATGTGAAGAATCAGAAAACAGAAAAATTCTGGAAATAATACATATGAATGCCAAGAATTGGTTCTTGGAAAAAACAAATTATAAAAGAGATAAATAGCTAACAGAAGAATCAGGTTGGCTGAGTAATTAATTATTTGGTATATCTGAAATATTCAATAATAAATTAACTGTCAATTAATAAATAATTAAAGCCACAAACAATAATGTGAAACTACCACTAACCTAAAGAATAAAAACAACCAGAACATTTTAAGTCCCTGTGCATTTCTCTATGACATTTCCCCACCCAGTTCACCACTATCTTGAAATATCAGTGTTTATCACTTCAGTGCATTTCTTTATAATTTTAAACTTATACATGCTTGTAAGTTATACTATTTTGCATGTTTCGAATCATATAAATGGTATTTACACTAATAATTCTACTCGTTTTTCACAATTTTTTAGATTATCCATGTTAATAGTAATAGCACTAATTCATTTTTTTCTACTTGCTATACACGATTTACCTTACATAAATACACTTTTATCACTTCTTGTTAATGGCAAGTTTACAGCTTTTTTGCAACTATAGAGTGTTGCCATGAAAATTCTTGCATCTGTGGGTATTTCTTTGGGCATGTGTGCTAGAATTTTCCTAGGAGTGGGGTAAGCACATACAATTTTACTAGATAGGTAATTTCTCATTGCTCTCTCAAGCACTTGGGTCACTGTAGACTACCCAATAGTTCCGGTTGCTCCAATGCTCATCAACAGGAAGTCATGGAAACTTACTTTTCACTCTACATTTTTGAGTTCATGGCATTTCACGTTATACAATTTCTTGATTTTCATGGCAATTAATCCTCACAGTAAGCCTGTGGATTAAGTGGTATTGTTCACATTCTGCACAGTAAGAAAACAAAGTCTCTGCTTTGAAACAACAGTTAATTTTCTTTTGAAAAACAATGTCTTACTTTTCAACCTCGCACATTGCACCGTTTTCTTGCCAGCCCTGGAAAGGCTGCTTGCTGGACGTTTCACTGGGAGGGGGATCCAGAGTTGGCAGCGTTTCCCACCCATGCTCCAGTACTTCCAAAGCCTGCTTGGCACTTCATCAACCCGAAGTAGTCGTGGCTCTGCAACGCAGTAAGACAGCCAGCGTTCGGACCATTGGAGAGTCCGTAGTCTATTCCTCTTCCCCTCCCGCCCCTTCCGGCGCTCCAACGGCGCCTTCCGCCGCGCTGGGGAAGGCGGGGCTGGCGGCTTGGGGCCGAAACCCGCTTCGGGATAGGCTAGGGCCTGCGGCGCGAGCACGGGGCTCGCAGGAAGTGCTCTCTTCTCTCCCTCTCCCGAGCCGCTCTGGCGGTGGTTGGAGCTATGCGCCGGAAGTCTTCCTTCCACCCCCCGCCTGCGGCGAACATGGCGGTGGACTCGGCGATGGAGCTGCTATTTTTAGATACTTTTAAACACCCGAGCGCTGAGGTAAGACTGCTATTTGATTCCGACCCTAGTTCCCTCCTTTGGGGATTCTTACAAAAAACCGTTGGCTGTGCCTCGACTTTTTGTCCTTCCGTTGCCGTTTAATTCTTCACTTGTAAGCACCCTTCCCCCTCGCTTGGGTGTGGGCGCCGTGTCTGGGGTGGGGGCGGCGGTAGCCCCCCCGCTCCATTTCCTTGCATCACTTGGGTCTCCGCCTCTGTGGTCGAGTTGCTTGCTCTGGTTGCTTTGCTTGTTTGTTGTTGTTAGCTTCCTGTCGGCTTCATCCCTAGTTTTACTTCGGGCGGTCTGCGGCAAGGGTCTTGGAAAGCTTGTTTTGACAGTAGTCCGTGACCAAGCAGGTCGCGCTGGCTTCGTGGTCCTAAATCCCTCCGCCTAGGTCCTCTCTCTAACAGGAGTTAAGCTGCCCAGATGTGACACTCATTGGGGTTAGGATCGCGGCGTTCTCCAGTTTGCCCTGAAACTTTAAATACCTAGCTCTTGGAAAGATTTCGCCCATTAGGACGTGAGGTACTACACAGTACGTCCTCTGCGTGGACAATACTTGCGAAGAGAGAGAAGGTAGTCAAGCTGTACAGCACAGTTGTATTGTTTCGAGGGGCGAGGGGAAGGGTGTTGTGGAGTAAGTGTTCTGTAATAACTTGAGCGCCTTTGAACGTACGAACAGATCTGCGATATGTAAATTGAATATAGCTAGTTAACTAAAGATTCCCAAAAGCCGGTCAAAAATGAACATGAATGGAGTCACAGAGAAATTTATTTTTATTATGGTATCAGTAATATACAATCACATGAGCAACATTGTGATTACTAGATTCCTCCCATTATCAAGGCCCCACCACATACCCCATGACAGTCACTGTCCATCAGCACAGTAAGATGCTATAAAGTCACTACTTGTCTTCTCTGTGCTAATACTGCCTTCTCCGTGCCCCCCCTCCACATTATGTGTGCTAATCATAATGCCCCTTAATTCCCTTATTCCTCCTTTTCCACCCACACTCTCCAGTCCCTTTCCCTTTGGTAACTGTTAGTCCACAGAGAAATTTAAAGAAACACCCAGAACCCACATTTCTCTTTCAGTGTAAACTTAATCAACTTAGAAAACTTTTTTTTTCCGGGATAGTGACGATACTGGGTAGTCCTTCTTTCCTAATCCTCTATTTGGCAAAAAAAAAAGTTGACAACTTGATTTTCTAATTATTTAACGAATGGTTTGTAGGTCTGTAAAAAAGTTTGGAAACTTTAGCATGTCTTACTAAAAAGTCGTGGTCTCTCATTTCATGTGGGTTGTCAGTCAGCTCTGTTTGTTTAATGACCATACTTCTCTGACTGTAATTCCAGCTAGAGTTTAGAAAACTCAGGCTGGAAGCAGTCGTTGGTTCTGAACAAACCTGTCATGTGTACAGTAATAGAAGTTAGATGTGAAAGAAAGAAGCATATGATGATTAGTAGTATTCTAGTTTAGGAAAATTGGCATTCATTCACTTAAATATTTAAGAATCTAGTATGTCTTTATTCATTCTTGGGCAAACATTGAGGACCATGAAAGGATAGGACGGGTAGTTAAATACCTTCTTCTGGCAGTGATTGGCGAGTAGAGATTATATTTGAACTGAGTCTTGAAGGAGGAGCAGGGGTTTGTGGGAAATATGGATTATAAGATGTTTGTTCACGAGTTTATCGCTAAGTATTGGAGATTAGGTCCACAAAATTATGATTCAAGTTAGAATTCAGTGAGTGCATAAAGAGACAGAGTGGAAATTTCTTAAGGTTTATCACCTTTATTTCCAAAATGCCCATCACTGTCTGATATCTTAGGCCTCCAGTCAGTATTTGGTTAGTTCCCTTTGACAGTACAAATAAAGGCCATCTGATTTCAGAGGAGGAAGAGATCACTCTTCGTTTGAGAGTATCAGGGAATACTTCTTCAAGGCTGTTGGCATGTGAATTTGCCTTGGTGGAAGAAGAAATGTTCCACAATTGTAGGAAGGCAAGGAGGGCATTTTCCTGGAGTGGTCAGTCAGTCCTCCGTAGGGTATGCCTGAAGTAGGAGTGTGAAGTGGCACATGAAAGGCTCTTTGAAGCCAGATCTTGGAATTCCTTTAATGCTCAGCAAAGGAGTGTGGGCTTTATTTGATAGGAAATGGGTAGTTTTTGAGCAGGCAAATTATGTGACTAGTAAAATGCATTAGATAGATTAATTGATCAGTAACACCTAAATGATCCAAAAAAATTAGGGGTAAAGAAGAAAAAGTAAGATTTTTTAGCACTTCATTATAGAAAAACCAGAAAATACAAAAGAACAACAGCTTTCAAAGACTTACCTTTCTTACTTAGTCTCAGCTATCATTAACAGCTTTCTTTTAATTTTTCCCCAAATCTCTAGTAAATACACAGATGTTTAAATGTGTATACCCACCACCCACATTAACATACCCATAATATAATACTGTTTGTAATTTCTCACCTAAGAATGTGTTATGCATCTTTATAAATCAAGACTACACTTATATAATATTTTAAAAGTATACTTCATATTTAAATGTTATCTTTTTGACCACGTAATACATATTTAAGGTACAAATTCAAAGGGTACAAAAGGGTACGTGGTAAAAAGCTATCTCTCATCTCTGACCCTTAGCTGTCCTGTTTTCTTTCCTAGATATTTTATATAATACCATTTTTTATTGGCTGCATATTTAAGTGGTAATGCTATTATTTTTAATTTTTTAATTTTTTTATTAAGGTATGATTGATATGCGCTCTTATGAAGGTTTCACATGAAAAAACAATGTGGTTACTACATTTACCCATATTATCAAGTCCCCACCCATACCCCAATGCAGTCACTGTCCATCAGTGCAGCAAGTTGCCAGAGATCCACTGTGTCCCTTCTCTGTGATACACTGTTCTCCCTGTGATCCCCCACACCATATGTACTAAACATAATGCCCCTCAGCCCCCTTCTCCCTTCCTCCCCACCTGCCCTCCCACACCCCTCCCCTTTGGTAAATACTAGTTCATTGTTGGAGTCTGTGAGTCTGCTGCCATTTTGTTCCTTCAGTTTTGCTTCATTGTTATACTCCACAAATGAGGGAAATCATTTGGCATTTGTCTTTCTCCGCCTGGCTTATTAATGTCCTCCAGCTCCATCCATGTTGTTGCAAATGGTAGGATTTGTTTCTTTCTTATGGCTGAATAATATTCCATTGTATATATGTACCACATCTTCTTTATCCATTCATCTACAGATGAACACTTATGTTGCTTCCATATCTTGGTTATTGTAAAAAGTGCTGCGATAAACCTAGGGGTGCACATGTCTTTTTGAATCTGAGAAGTTGTATTCTTTGGGTATATTCCAAGGAGTGGGATTCAGGGGTCAAATGGTATTTCTATTTTTAGTTTTTTGAGGAACCTCCATATTGCTTTCCACAGTGGTTGAACTAGCTTACATTCCCACCAACAGTGTAGGAGGGTTCCCCTTTCTCCACATCCTCGCCAGCATTTGTTGTTCTTAGTCTTTTCGATGTTGGCCATCCTTACTGGTGTGAGGTGATATCTCATTGTGGTTTTAATTTGCATTTCCCTGATGATTAGTGATGTGGAGCATGTTTTCATGTATCTGTTGGCCATCTGAATTTCTTCTTTGGAGAACTGTCTCTTCATATCCTCTGCCCATTTGTTAATTGGGTTATTTGCTGTTTGGGTGTTGAGGTGTGTAAGTTCTTTATATATTTTGGATGTTAACCCCTTGTCAGATATGTCATTTACAAATATATTCTGCCATACTGTAGGATGCCTTTTTGTTTTGTTGATGATGTCCTTTGCCATACAAAACCTTTTTAGTTTGATGTAGTCCCATGAGTTCATTTTTGCTTTTGTTTCCCTCTCTCAAGGAGATGGGTTCAGGAAGAAGTTGCTCATGCTTATATTCAGGAGATGTTTGCTATGTTGACTTCTAAGAGTTTTATGGTTTCATAACTTACATTCAAGTCTTTAATCCTTTTCGAGTTTACTTTTGTGTATGGGGTTAAACAATAATCCAGTTTCATTCTCTTGCATGTAGCTGTCCAGTTTTGCCAATGGTAATGCTATTACTTTTATATTCTCATACATGTAAGTTTCTGACTTTTATAGTGATGTGATATTCTTGAAGTTGAATTATTTTGTACAATCTTATTTATTACTTTCTTGAGTGAAATTGCTGGGTTAAAATACCATTTTATAAGAGTGATTGATGATATAAAGTCCAACTTCATTTTAGAGTTTCTTTAACAAACCAGCGTGGAACTCTTCTGAAAGCAATAATAATGGAATGGAAGGAATAGATGAAATAACTTTAGCTTACCCTCCGGAGACAGTAAAAGAGAAGAGAAGGTAATTGTCATGGATAGAAAAGTAAGGAGGGGGAGGCAACTATACTGTGACTTTTAAACACACAGTGACTCCTGAAGATAAATGTGGCTCAGAGTCCTGGAATCTGACCAATCTATTCTCCACATTCCTGTAACTTCCCTAATCATAAGCCCTTCATGATTTCCCATTGTCAACTATCTTCCTAGCTTTCTGTAATTCTCTAGATATCATAAGCCCCCACTTCACTGTAATATTAACTCTTTGAAAGCTCAATTAAATCAACTTTTATTAAGCACCT